TTAATATTAATTATATCAATGGCAAAAACTATATGAAGGGATTTAATATGTACTAGACCACCTCATTAGTGCCATATGTCACGGGGTGCATGGAAAGAGTAGATAGCAAAGAACTAACCATTTGGATGATGGGTAAATCGATTCCCGAACTTTTTCTATTGAAAACTGCAGCCATCAAGGAGCTAAAATGAGCAAGTGAAAGTTTGTGTCAGCTTATTTGTGCTAAGGGTTATATATTGGAAATCCTTAAGTTTATTAATGTCTAGGTACAAATAGTCTTTAACCAGTGGTATCTGGGTATAAGAAGAATTAGTTTCAGCTTGTTATTAGGGCCTTTTTGGAATAACAAGAGACAGGATTTTGCTTGTCTGTTGTCCTTTCAGTTAAGTGTTTTTTTTAAATGCTTTTAATATGGAATTCAAGCAATTTCTTTGCTTCATCTTCTCCAGACGTTTCACTAACACGGTGCTGGGGGTGGGGAGGGAGCAGGAAGGGGAGGGAGTTGAGGGCCCCTCTATACCAAGAGTTCATTTCAGAGGTATTGGCTGAAATATTTTGATGTCTGTCCTCTGCTAAAGATTTAGTGGTTAGTACTATCTTTGTTTATAAGCTCACTAGTATAAACAGGGTATTGCAGAGGAAAATGGATAGTGAAAAAGAACAGTCTGTGATTTTTAACCTGATCCCTTTTAAAGTAATATTTGTATGATACTCAGCTGATATCAACTGAACCTATTGGAAACCTCTAGCGTAGTGTTCGGAGAATTCAAATGCAGTCCCTGTTAACAGTGACAGGAGTATGCATGTAATTCACCACTCGTCATGCTGCACACTTACCCCTTAGTGTTTGATGTTTTGTACATCAATAAATATACTGTAATTGAAAAGATGGTGTTTAATAAGGAAAGGTTCAGTACACTTTATTGTGGGCTACTTAAAATATTGAATCTGCTGTCGAACCTTAGTGGTTAGTTAAACTGCAGAAACCAAAGAACATCATCTACCTTTTGCAACTTAACTGTGTATCATTAATTAAACCTTTTTTTTTAAGTTCTGGGATAAATCAAATGCTGTTCTGGGGAAACAAGAAACCATATTAATGAGCATCAACTCCTTAATTATCCTCATGACTACATAACAGGGACACATTCATGTCATTTCTTTGTGCAATAACTTTTACAAAGAAGTATTTTTAAACTGATCATTAATTTTATGACCACAGAAATTAGATGCAAAATTTATGCTGTTGTCATTGGCACAGGTTCAAGACACTACTGACATTATGCGTGATTGTAATGGAATGGCTGCCAACTAATGAGTCTACAGACATTTTGTTCGAGCATGCTTTGCTTTTAGATGTCTGATTAGGCTGTAATGCTTTCAATTATGCCTGCAAATTGTATTGGATACATTTACCTGATGCCCATTGTTGCTTTGTACTTCGGTTTTCTATTACATAAATGCATGTTGAATGCTTTCCTTTTAATTTATTGATGTTTTTCAGGTATATTTGTAGGCACTTGGCACCTGCAAAAGGGAGAAAATGATTTGTATTGCTCAATACTGACTCCTCTGACTGGTTAAGGGGTAACATTGATAGTTTTGAGTGAAGTCCTTTCCAGTTATCCTCAGTCAGTAGAATATATGCTGCAATGCAGTACCTCAACAGGGAAAGTGGGGAAAGGTGGGGATTATTTTTTGACAAATGATATAGAAATCCTCTCCCCTGCTGCTCCCCCCAGTGCCCTCAACGCACACACATTAACAGGAAGGAACAATAGGCCCCCAGAATTAACCAGAAGTTAACTGAATGTGAATTATAGAATATTTGATGTGTAAAACTTCAGGGAACAACATTTCCTATTCATATAGGCTAAAAACAGACAACCAGTTTAACGTGGCCCTGATATGACTTGCATCAATACAGGCATTGGACAGCTAAGCTTAAATGTCAAGTCAGATTATCCACCACTGTTCCTGAGGCTAAATCTTAATTTGAGTAATTCACAGATACTTAACGTGGGACATTTGAGACTGGCTGTCTGTAAGCTCGGGGTTTAATGTGACCCAAAACGCTCCGATGTGAATTAAACCGGCTATCTGTTTTAGCTGTAGAGAGAATAGCTTTCTAAATGCCTCAAACATCAGAAAACTAGGAAACTGAGAGTTAAAGCTGACACTGTTCTTATTATCATCATGTGTGAATTTAAGAATCATGGAAATGTTTTCTTTGTAAGCACTAGAATACTCTTTGAGCTGTCATACCAAAATGGTTAGGTAGACATATGCAAGTTATGAATTTATACCTGTAGTGTAAACTTAAACATATTTTTATTTTAAATACAAAAACCAAAAATTTAAACAAAAAATCCTGGTTTAATCTCTCAGACAATTCCTTCTCTATTTTAGTGTCCATAAGATACTTAGTATTATATATTTAAAAAACAGTATTTTTAATAAAGCCTAGATACAAAACACATGAGACAGGGCTGCAAGATTTCATTGTGAGTTCAGATTTTTTCCCCTGTGAATAAAGAGTGGATATTTTCACTATTTAGAGAAACTTTTTTTTATTTTGAAATCATCTAGAAATTCACTTTGACAAAGAAACTTTTAAGGGTGTCCATTTCTTTTGAACTGGGATTTTGTAGGTTTAAAACAGACAAATACTTCCTCAGTATATATTTGCATACCCACACATTTGGTGGTAGTTTCAGCTATAGAAAATCTAGAGAATGTGCAGAAATGCTTGATTTTAAGGATTTTTATTGGGCTACTTTGAGAATATTTAGTAGGCTCTAAGGTAAAACAGGGCCTGTCCAAATTTGAGCCTTTGACCTATCTAGAAAGTACTAAAATGCCGTAAAAGTGCAACAGTATAGCTCATTACCTGCCATTTTAAATAACTCATGCAGCTGAAAAGTATTGCCTATGAGCTGAGAGAGGTAGAGTTCTAGTGAAACTAACCCTTCCCCAGATAAGTTTTGTTTGTTTATTTTTATCTTATACTGTGTGTGTGTATATATATATATATTTTCCAAACACAAATTCATACTTCCCTCTATTTATTTATTTATTTATTTATTTATTTTAATGTCCTGAAACACTTGTTTGTAGACAAACGTGCTCTCTGTACATTGTTTCTTTTCTTGGAAAATCTAAAGTCTTGGATTGTATGCACATGTATACTGGCATCTTAATGAATGATGGTGTATTTGAGCAGGCCTGTCTGCTACTAGCTTGGATATTTCCTCTTAGCTGGCATCCCAAGGACTGGTACATATGGGTGTTCTTTTACTGTATCGTTACTTAGTAGAAGGCTGTTAACGCGGGGAGAGTGAAAGGTAGAATTTTTGCTACATGACATGCTTCCATGTATGGTCCCATCCTTGCACACTTGTAAGCTGTGGAAATGAGAAGACATTTTAAGATGGGAGGCAGTTAGTTTAATCGGTATATGCATTTGTGTGAAAAGGGGTTGCCATGTTAGGCACAGGTATTTTAAATTGCTCTGCTCACCTCTGCTGTTTGAGGTCATACTCCACAGCTTTTCTGTGTGGGGCAATTGAGGATTCAGCAGTTGACAGGAAAAGTTTGCTTGGGATCAGTTTGGGCATGATTAAATTGAAATATTTTGGTTAGATCACTCTAACTGTAACAATCTTTGTGAGAATTGTGTTAAAATTCAAACTGGATCTGAACGCAGATGCTAATCAGTTCCTTTATGACATTGGGGCTTTGAAAGAGAACTTATCAAAAAAATATTATTCTAACATCCTGCAACATAAGGAAACAAAAGTGGAAATTGGGCTTTATCACTGAAGTGGCAAAGAAAATGTTACCGTGTGCTAAAAATCATGGGGTTTTCATTACACACGGCTTCCATTTTCTATTATTAAATAGGTAAGAAAGTAGCAAAGCACCCATTCATGGTCAGATTATTGTTCTGATATTTTGGTTTAGCAGAGTAAATATCTTAGCTGTCCATTTGGTATGATTTAGTTTTTAAGGGATTCATTATCCATGACCTATCTTTCAAAATAGTTTCTGACAAGGAAAAAATATGAAAAGAGAAATTGGTGTGTCAGGTGTCATTCAATGCATTCAGTAGGAAATGTTCAAGAGCAGTCCAACAGTATAAAAAACATGTTCTTCAGAAGGAGACTAGGATACGTTTTACCTATCCAGTTGTGAGTTCAATAGTTTCAGCTTTCAAAAAACTTTGTATTTTTTTCAGGGTTTAGTTTTTAAAAGGAGAGAGGTACTTTGAGTTCTCCTTTTTCTGTGTTAATCCCCTTTTTTTGGCATATGTCTCAGAAAATATACTGTACAAATTTGGGGGAAAGCATCAGTTTTGTATAATAAAACAAAGGTTTACATCACCACTGAGTGTGTTGTGAGAGATTCTGGAGCCCTTGGCTGCTTCAGCACTGCACCAGTAAACTACGGTACTCAGTATCATAGTGTGGCACTTCAGTTTTTAACTTCATGAAAAAGAAAAACTTAATATTTCTGCAGATCAAGAAATGTATCTTTTTTCTATTGGGATCTACTTTTCAAAGTATAAGGAGAAAGCAAGTGAAAGTGTTCAGAGGTCCAAACACTGCTGCTGAAAACTCTCTCTCCCCACTTTCTCTTTTTCTGTCAGTCTCTCCCCCTCTACCCCCCTGCCCTTGATATCTACCTTTTCTTCCTATGCACAGTTTGGGTCTGGTGTTACCCTCTATCCCATTCCCGTAGTGATGATGTACCAGCTGTGCATCAGTGGGTTTATTAATGTGACATTATTAGGCTCACTTGTCCAATTAGACTGTAGCTTTGGAATATCAGCATATACAGCTTATACTTTAATACTCTGAAATCCATCAAGTCAAAGAGAGTGCAGTAAAACCCTGAATTTGTTTAAAATATGCCTAGAAATCATTCTTTCATACTGCTGAAAATACCTTTTGATGCCAAAGAAACTGTTTTTAAACTCCTGGTATCTTTGACTCTTGTAGGAGAGCTGGAAGACGAGGACGAATCTGAAGGCCTTTTATCTTCACCTCCTGATAGTGTCTCGCTAGCATCTGACCGATATGATAAAGAAGATGAAGCACCCTCTGACGGTATGTGACACTGTTTATCTTAGAATGCACTAGATTCACCAGTTTGCTAAAAACCCATGTAATCTGATCCTCTTGATTAGTGTGCCCATTGTTGGAAATCAGATAAACAGATAAGTATTAGCAGACATCTGGATGTTTTTCTTACCTTTCCAAGAACCTTTAAGGAACTGAAGAGCTCTCTCTAGTGGTACTAAAAGCATAGTGAACCTGTCATAAGTGCATACTGTTTTTGTTTGCACTCATATTTTTTCATAGGATAATCTGTTCTGTTGGTTATATATTTTAAAGATAGATCAGTGGCTAAACAATGTGAATATTTGTAGCAACAAATTGTTTGTTAATTCAACATGATCAGATTCTTGCTTAATTTAATCGTGCTCCTTAATGGTTTGCTGTATTATTTATCTTATAAATAATGAAACAGTTTAGTTGATTGATATTTTTCTCCAAACTCCATTCAGAATGGGTTCATAAAATATTAAATTAATTATTCCTACATTGCTTTCTCACATTAAAATAGTCTAATGCAGAATACTTTCTTTATATAAATTATAACTTTATTGACTTTCCGTTTAAAAAAACAACCCTCTTTTCTGTATGGCTGTTTTGTTCTACATCCATAAAATTCAATAATAATTTTTATTGTGTTGAAGATATGGATAGTAGCATATTGCAGCTGTTAGCAAGCTTGCTTTTATTACAGTGTCCATATTTTTAGGCCCAGTTATAGTATACATAATATATTAAAACTTTCTATGGGTAATATATGATTATAAATTAAGTGTGTGTAGAAATAAATTAACCATGTATATTAATTTGTAGCACACAAAGTTAGACTTAGAAGTGAGTGATGTTTTCTGCCATGATATGATGATCAAACTGTGGAGCTTTGTCTCAAAATACAGTTGCTGAATGAAAATATGCTTCCTGCAACATAGCACTCCATGTTTTATGTTATCCAGATTATTCCCTTTGGAAACATAAATTGCTTTTATGAGGTATAAAATTATGTCTATTGCAGAACAGGGATAAGTCAAGTACATGCATAAGTGATAAACCTTCTAACCACTGATTCAAAATAACAATTTTTTTATATATATTCAGAATTCTCTAAAATGCGCAGCAATAATAATCACATACTTTCTATTGGGCTTGTTCTGCCTTTTGGCAAATGTCAGATTTAAAAAAAAAAAAAGCACAACTCAACCCCTTTTTGTTTTCAGTTTGTAATATAATTACTAGCTAAACGGGGCATTGCTGGGTTTTAAAACCTATAGTTTGTCAAAGTACAAACATATTAAACTTATCATTTTTATGTTTGTTTATAATTGCTGTTATAAAAACACAAAGATATTTTCTTAACAATATGTTCAGCTGAAAGTGACTACGAAAGGATCTGTCAAAACTGTATGGGTATTTAGAAGAAATATTGTTTCATTTTCTGTCAAAGATGTACAGTATTAAGAACAGAACTGTTTTATTGTTAAGACTGAATAATGAATTGCTGTGCAATGCTGATGCCTAAATATATCAAGTAACATATCAATTTGCGCACACAGATAATTAACTTAATCTGTTTTGTATGTTGTAATTACTGGATTAGGTGTTATAGATGCCTTACAGCATTGTTGGGTGATGAGATGCAATGCAGACTAAAAATACTACTCGTATAAAAGATGGCGAACCTTCATATGGTGGTTCCTACCTATTTTGACCAAATCCTGAAGTTTAATTATTCCTAGGCGCATCTACATGAGACACTATGTCGCTGTAGTGATGAGCTATGAACAGTGATGCTGCTGCTACTGCACCGTAGGGTTGGAAATGACCCATGTGGCACTGGTACTGAGCAGTACCTGTGGTTACTGTGCACTCATTTAGTACTTGTTAGCAACTGCGCAGTCGGGCACACGTGTAGACGTGCCCCCTTTTGATTTTTGTCCAAGGAAGAAAGCAACCAGAGGTGCATTTGGATACACAAATGTCAATACGTATCCCTGGTATAATTTTTATTTTAATCTTTGAACCCAGGTATAGGCTCCTAAGTTTTATGTTTACACACCTAATAGATGCTGGTGTTCAGAGGTACCGAATATCTGCTTTTTTCATTGACATATATGGATGCTCAATAATTTAAAAAAAAAAAAAATCAGTCTGCTTATACTTCTGTGCCTAAGTCATGCTCCTAAAACTTGATCCACATTGATAGACTTTGATTCTGTGCTGCTACCATTTTACTTCATTTGGTGGTCTGTGCAGGTGTATATCCATTTTCAAAGTCAAGCCTGAAATATGCATTTAGGCTCCTTAACTATGGATGTCCGAATTCTGAAGTTTACTTTAAGGGAGTTCATCTGCTGTGCTTAAATCATTATGTAGTACATAATAGTTTATATAATTAAGTGAAACAAAAGACGGTGTAGGCTTTGTATGAGTTCCAAAAATACCAGTGCCTGGCTTCTCACTTTTCCTGTGAAACTACAATATGGAAGGTAAAGGATTACTGTATCTGTACTGTAGAGATGAAATCATATGTACATTGCAATCATTGTAAAATCCTGTTTTTTATGTGACCTTTGTCTAATGGTGTATTAATTACAAGAAGGATAATCCATTTAACAGTAAGTATGATATAACTAAATTAGGACAGGTCACCAAAAGGCCTTTTGTCAAATCTGATTGTTATTTTGTCCTTTTGACTTTTACCTTATGGTGGGCACTAACAAAGTATCTAAACTTTGATGGATTATAAACTCTAAACATGATATGTATTTTTCATAATGCTAATGTAATTTTCTAGGTACCGAAAAGGTCAAACCCCCACGTCTCTGTGTGCATTCTAAGTCTGTCTTTCCTTTTAATATTTCTTTTTCTCTGTTCCTCTGGTTCAAAAGTTCATTCAGTTCCCAAATGGCCACCTAATTTTCCAGTTATTCCCTCAAGCCATATGTGTTTTGGTTTCTTTATGGTTTATTAGGTACTGTAGGAAAGTAGCATAAGTTATATCTTTTAATGAAATTCAAGCACACTTCAGTGATGCTTTGACTTGATTGCTAGCAGCAATTAAATCACAAGGAAGGAGAATAATGCATAGACTTACAAGATCCAGACACTATAGAAACTGAAAAGGATTAAAAAAAAATGAAGTTAAAAAAAAAATAGAAGAGAAGAATCCTCCAAACCAAAACAAACGAAACAACACAGTCCTGCCAGGCAGTGTTCCTAACTTGATTTTTTTTTATTGGCTAATGGCCTGATTGATAGCAAAATCATAACTTGCTGTATGCCAACAGGCAGAGTTCACTTGTAGGTTATTGTGAGCTGATAAAAGGTTAGATGGAGTTTTGATTTTTCGCATTGGACCTTCGCGCGCCAGATTAATGGAATTTCAATGAGAGACTGGAGTAGTCACAGCTTTGTCAGAAAAACAGATGGAGATTCTATAGTCATGTCTGCTCATTAATACCAGTTGCCTGAAAGGTGTACCACTTCTCTATACAAAAGACTCAAGATAATTGATTTTTGAGAGGGGTATTTTTTCACTTATTGATGACTAGATTTCTTGTAACTTTAAGTGACAGGTTTTCTCCCAGTATGTTGTCTAAAAAAGTTGCATCTTGTAATTTTTTCACTCCCTGGCCAGCTGTATTTTGAAAATTGTAAATGGTGGGAAAATGCCTCTAATTTGGTCATACAGGTAAAACAAAACATGTTTTAAAGTACTACTTTAAGTGCAGCCGTACTATGCTTCTAAGTTGTTACCATCTTTAGAATGTAATGTTTTAAAGAGGGGAGAAAAATAAGTGAATTCATTTACAGAAAATATTTTTTCTATAGGCTTGGATACTAAAAAGAACAATCTTATTTTATATTACCTTCTTTAAAAGGAAAGAAAGGAAGGAAGACATCAGGAGGATAGTTCTTTTTAAAAAGTATAAAATAATGAAATATGAAATAGAAGTCTGTACAAAAATTATAAAAGTTTAAGTTAGAAACATAGTTTAAGAGCCTTCAGTGCCCTTGTGGAATTCTTCATTTCGGTACATGATAACCTGCTCGCAAAATTCACGAGAACTGAATATTCTTCTAGGACATTTCATTTATTTGTACCTGAAAGAGGGCTATAATGCTTGGCCTACCTGATATTACTGCCAAGGGAGCACAAAAATGATTGATATGTTTTCTAACCTGGAAGCAGACAAATCTACATTTGGCTTCATAGCACTAAGAAGTGTGAATCTGATCTCAATAAATATTTAGTCTGAAATACTAGCTTTAAAAAGAGATCTAAAGAGTTCTCCTTTAAATGTTGTCTGAAGTACACGAGATTCAAAAAATAAAGAAAATATGTCTTAGCGTTTATATGCTCCTCACAGTCATAGTATTTGGATGTAACCCTGAATAAAATATGACATTTTAATTGAAGTGTCTTTTAAATAGTAGAATAGTCCTGTCTTAGAAAAAGGCAATTTGAGTTGGGGAGGGGGAAAAAATTCAGAATAAGAAATGTCATTGCTGAAAGTTTGTGAAGGCTTAGATTTAGAATAAACTAGCTTCTGACAGTCTTAGAAATGGGTACAGTTGACTACTCTATGCTGTTTGCTTTTATATTTATATTACTTATTTCCTTCCTTTCCTCCTCCCGATTTGGGAGATTTTTCTTTGGGTTATAATTTCTTCTTTACTTTTGGGAAAATAAGAATGAAAAATGATGCACTTGGATTTTTTTATACTTTCATTTTGAAAGGTAGGGTCTACAAGTTAACAGTTTCACTTTTTCCTGTAGTGTAGCTGATGTGACATTTTTTTGGATTAAGAAACTTGGAGTACCATCACAGTGGAAGATGGAATTCAGATCCATACAAGATCTTTTTCCTTGCTTTGCAGTGTACTTTAAGTATTTTCCTTTCGTCTTTCAATAATATTCCCTATTAGATGGGATAGCCCTCTAGATCACACAGTTACAATTAAATAAAACTAATAACTAGTTTAACAGGGCT